GGACCGCAGCGTGTCACACATTAATCACGGTGCCGTGTGTCAGTGTGTGTCTGCGTGTACATGAGTGTGTGCTTTTGTACACACAGTGATGTTTCAGCAGTGAGCTCAGGGGTCGCTCCTCTCAGAGACCTTTTCTTCTTCTTCAGAAGGTTTTTTATTGAATTAGCATGACGAGGTAGAGATAACCTTTGACGTTTAGCATTTACACGACCTGAGGTAAAGAACGTCTCTCTGATTCCTCTCATGAAGATTTTTCTGTCTTATTGGTCCGGCTCAGTTTTTGAAGTATAATAGTCTTCCTTAATCCCACATAAATCCATAAAGATTACATCTCGACACCTCTCTATCCCTCTCAGATTTCCTCCCCTCACCCGGCCTCCTTCCTCCTACACACCACTATGATTCATGTATTAATGAGGGAGGTAAATTAGGCCAATGGATACCCATCCTTTTAATGTACTCATGATACTTAAAGGCAAAGCAAAGCTAAATTATGAGCCTTCATCTGAGGTTGAATATTTCACAACCAAAGCATGATGTTCCTCCCCTATAGGGTTAGTTTAGCACTCTTTATTAGCCAGAGGTGCTTCAATTTGGCAGTATTTTACAATACAATACAATGCAATTCAATACAAAATTAATGGAACTGCAAAATTACATGATTACCCGTTCATTTAATACAAAATAAAATGTCATAGTCTGTTAAATCTAATGCAATCCACTAAAACAGCCCTGCAATTTCACGTATCTGAGCTCATAATGTTCAGGTTTGGTGTCATTGTTGGCTATGGCATGAGTTCTGTAATATAGAGGATTTAATGAACATTGGAGTTAAACATTGTTCTTACTCCTAAATGGTCAAATTCAGCCACTCCGTTAGCTTAAACCTGCACTTCAAAATGTGCTGCTTGTGAAAATCTAAAGCAGGAGTAAAAAAAACAAAGTCATCAAACATTTCTGAGGGATGTAATCTGTCGAGGAGAACACACTGCTGACACCAAACAGCTGGTTAAACCCTCAGCTCGTCCTCATCCTGACAACCGGATTTTAGGGAGGACTTCACACCAACTAGGAGCTACAGTATAGGTATAAGAGTGAAGGTGTAACTTCTGCCTACATCTGAACTATCTCAGCTAGTGTAACACCTTGAAGGCAAGTAGAGCGTAAACTTTGTGCTAAATTAGAAATTACTACT